CAAGAATGGAGAGAAAAAATTTTCATCTCAGAATGGAATGACACCTTCATGAGTGCCAAATGAATTGCAAGGTTTAACACAATTAGAGGAAATGTTAATTGCACATGTTTTCCCAGCGATTTCTACTTACACAAAACCAGGTGGACAAAAAGCATACAAAGGCCATTGTATTAACTTTTCTCAAGATATCCAGGAGTTAGCAAATTCTTTGCCAAGATACCCTTGTGAGCTGCCAGTAACAGTTGTGTCAGTCAAAGGCAAGGATAATACTTATAAAGATCTCACTGTGAGGCGTGAAAAGGTCAGCTGTGCTCTGCACTGGTTAGTTCAACATAACCCTGTGCATAAGGATACCACCACTGATTATGAGTTCTTGGCTTTGTTGCCTTCTGATGGCATTCCAACTGAGCTGCATAAGATCGATTGTACTGAGAACAGTAAAGATGATGAAATTGATCCAGACAGAGGTCCTCTTGATGAAATACCATTCAATGAAGACACAGAACTGGGTAGCACAGTTTTTAACCCTGTACAGCTTAAGCCACAGAAGCAGCTGATTACAGATGAGTTATTAAAAATCCACAAAGTCAATTGGCCTCATAGGAATTCAAGTCCTCTGAATGAGTTTAAAATTGGATATTTAGCTACTATGGCATTTCCAACTTTGTTTCCATATGGTGAAGGAGATCCTACTCCCAGTGCTGCAATGCATGATGTGACCCTTGGAAATAAAATATTTGATTAAATTTGCTGAATATAATAATGGTAACTGGACATATAGGTTTGCAAGTCACCCACAGTTTGCTTATCAGGCATTCAATATGATTCAAAGGCACAGACTCCTAAGTCAAGGAAACATTTTTTAAAGGAAAACCCTAGCAATGCTAGGGTTAACTTTAGAACCGTTGCGTCTATTCAACCATTAAACCGAGAGCCGGGTGTTTACCTGCTACCATTAGAGGACAACCTGGTGTTTCCAGAAGCCACCCCAGAGCGAGTCTATGGAAATTTGTTACACCTGAATAAACACAAGGCCCCAGGCCCCAACGGCCTGTCTAACTAGTTCTTAAAAGAGTAAGCTGAACTGCTATACCAACCAATAGCTGACATTCTTAACTCATCATACAAAGAGCAGAAATTACCATCTGTTTGGAAGCACGCGGACGTTACTCCACTCCCAAAAGTAAAACAAGTCGTAGATCCCAAGAAAGAACTCAGACCAATCTCGCTAACCACATCGCTTTCCAAGGTTGTAGAGGACTTCATAGTATCAGATTACATAAGACCAGCCTTAGATAGAATAGCTGATTCAAACCAGTTTGGCACCGTATCAGGTTCATCCACTGTCCTCGCTCTGTTAAGTATGATCCACGAGTGGCTCCAAGCAACAGACGGAAATAGCGCATCTGTGCGTGTTTTCCTCTTCGATTACCGCAAGGCTTTTGATTTCATTGATCACAAACTCTGGCAGCCAAATTTAAGGAAGTCGAGATTCCCAACAGTATCATTAACTGGATCCTGGATTCCCTGTTAGAACGGTCCCAGAGGAAAAGAGCTTACCAGAGGAAAGAGCTTACCATCAGCTTCCGTTGTTCCCCAGAACACTTCGACCCAGACACAGTTGATGGGATACAGATCCAAGCAACAACTTCTAGCAAGCTTCTCAGCCTTATCATCAACAACACACTAACATGGAACGATCATGTTGATAGTTTAATAAAGAAAGCAGCTAGGAAAATATATCTCCTTGTGCAACTTAACTGTGTGCGCATTCCGGCCAAAGATCTTGTTGCCTACTACTGCGCATGTATTAGATCTTCCCTTGACTACACTTGTCCAGTTTTCCATTTTTCTCTAACTCAGTATTTACAGTTGGAATTAGAAAGTGTTCAGAAAAGAGCTCTGGTGTGTATTTTTCCTAGAATGCCGTACAGGGAAGTGTTAGAGCGCGCCTGTTTGACCTCTATCAGGGTACACCACGAAGACTTTACAAAGTCTTTATTTAGATCAATCAGCGAGAATCAGTAAACCACATAACCTCATTCCTGAAGCCTACAGCCCTCATTATAATTTCAGGCGCCAAAGAATGTACAATGTACCAGCAGCCAAGACAAAGCGTTTCGTTAATTCGTTTTTCGTGAAGTGTGCGGCTGTAACCAACTCAAGTTTGAGATGAATGAGAACCCCTTTTAATAGAACTTTAAGGCATTATATTTATAATTGTATATTAGTAGCTTGTAAATAATTATGCAATTCAGTATTTTACTGCGATGTGATTTAATAATAAACCAGTCTAACCAGTCCAACAACTTCAACAGATGCTTCAATTGAATACATATTCCACTTTAATGTCTAAGCTTATGCATTATGCTAAAAATAGGTACCCAATGGGTACTTGTGTCTGCTACAGTGGAATGGAATCTGCTGTAGGCGCCTATTTTTTTGAATACTGTTAAACTGGCTAGAAACATCTCCCGAAAGGCAGTGCTATGGAATGCTC